TTGATCGAAAACTCGTGAGCAATATGAGCTGTGTAGGGTCTGGTACCGTCATAGGTGATGATATCGTTATTGTAGTTTTATACTGCTATTCCTTTGTCAATTTGTTCGCTAAGAAACAAGCCATAAACTTGAGAAACGCCGGAGGTTTTTTCCCGACAGAGCCATTTAAGAGGCACATCTCAGAAATCCATCGCCATAATAATCATCCACGTGAACCCACGTGACTTCTCGTGATCCAATTCGGGCAGTTCCTCATTCGCGTTAATCCAAAGTTGACACTTCTGACTTTGGCCTCAGCGTACAATTACACACAAATTTCGTTTATGAGCAGGGCCCAGTTTGATAGTCTTAAATGCCGCTATCGGCAGAGAAAATCATTACTACAGACACCAATTCGATTCTGGGCTCATGCATCTGGGAGTAAATGGGATATTCAAAAACATGTTCTGTGGACCATCCCCAATTTTTGGGCACAATTTGCGTAACAGGTGCAGCTAGACTGCAAGTTCGAGGGCAAACATCTGCAATAGTCAACATTGTGATGCGCCCTTTGAAAACCTCCTCATCCACCCGCCTTCTGGGAAGGTGGACAATATGAAGGCGTCCTCAACCACAACTCGCTTCCGTTCTCCCTTCTTTGAGCTCTCACACCATATCTTCAACGTAGCACTTCGAGAACACTGTATCACGCGTAAGTTGAGCCAGCACACACAGAATTCGAGTTGCGAATTTTACGTATGTCACCAATCATTTGGAAATTCCACCTCGATTTGGGTCACTATGAATTCTTTTATGTGTTTAAGTGTTTCCTCCTGCAGCACTATGAAACTAAATTAGAGGTATACCGTAGCTGGGTGTGCTAGCTTAAAAGCAAAAGCAAGTAGAATGCTCTAGCTCTTTTACTTTTCCCACCATTTCTCTAGATGTCTGGACATGTTTGAATGAGTTGACCTAATACAATGTCTTGCGCATCCCAAAACCTGACGAACAACTCTGACAGCTTTGCTTGTTCATGCCTAGATTACCTACCTGGCTACTTCAACAACATGACGATATCTCGCTCCTCATAGTCAACACGTCAACTGGAATAGGGCGTAGATTCGGAACAGGCCCGATGCCGATGAATATGCCATGACCAGCCAAACAGGCCAAACGACATTGTTCGATGCCCTAGAAAACCATTCTACAAATAAAGAACTATGGCAAATGGTGGACAACGCTGTTCACCTGGGCGGCTTCCCATGAAACGACCGATTTCAAGCCAGAGGACAATGCGTGAATCTCGGGAAGAAGGTCAACATTGCCATGAGTTAGTTGTTCAGTGACCTGAAGGTGATTATATATTGTAATTAGATTCGTGTTAAATGCTGAAATTTTCGTATCAGAGAGGTCCCGCTCATGTTTCTGAGCCATGCATGTTATCAAATATAACTCTTAACAACTGTAGCATGTACATAAAATTCTACAAAAGGGAAAACTGTTAGAACGGGTTTTCGTTAGTTTTACGTACGCACGTGACATTTCAACAAAGCAATGACGCTGCATAAAGGTTAACAGAACTGTACTCCTTTCACTCCTTTCAGGAAACCTACGCGGAAGTCAATCTACCTTTGGTTCCAGCCATAAACTTTTTCTTCAGAACGTTCGTCTTCTCTTTAGACAAAAAGCGCGATAAAACTGATATTTACGAAAAAGGACGATGTGGAAAGGTTGTAGAATTGTCCAAGTAGAGAATAGGTAGCGTTTTGGCGATGAAAGGTGCGCTATCGCTGTGGTGTATTATGGCGCCGAATATGCCCTTAAAAGCTTTTCTGGTCCTCAGACACGACCACGGCTGGCACATAAAGTGGTGTAACATATAACGCAACCTTTTCGGAAATGAATACCTGTTATCGCATCTGTTCGATCTTTCTGACGATGGTAGCTGTCTCCACGCTGGCCATCACGGCATAACGCTCTTGGTCACCCAAGATGGCAATGTTCGACTCACTAGGACACTCGCCTTTCCAGACCCCAATTGACGAAAAGAGAATCCCGTCCTTCGGGGTTGAGCTTCGTTTTAGTTTTTGTTCTACAGATATACTAATTGGCACCTCTTCTTTCACATTTCAACAGTATCAACTCACCACAAATACTGACTTTTGGAGTATCGTACAAAGGGACCATGGGACTCCATCTTCACCGAAATTGGTACCCTCTTCATCAACGTTTCACATAAGACATCGAAGATTACATCTCATTCTGATGATAGCCCGGATGAGTTAAATAGATTGTAGTCTATCTGAAGCTTTTGTGAAGTGACCAAATTCACATTATCTGTTCCTAATCGCGCATCCTTAAAAATGGTGGCACCTCACCTCGCATTTTGTTATACCCCTTTCCCGCAGGCACCCCGCAGCAGATGAAATTTCAGGGAGCCATTTCTACTTAGACTTCATTTTTCTCGCCCGGGAATTCGCACATGATTTTATGAGCACGTATAGCACACTTACACGGGGATAGAAGAAGTCGGATTGTTTATGCATGATGCCTCTGAAGTCACGGGTCGGGATTAAGCACCTCGAGCCAGTCCCTCTTTGAGTAAGAAAGAGGGGCCACGAAGCAAATGAGCCGTGACGTAGTCCCGTCGAAAGGTGCGCGGCAGATATGCTGAGATCGTGTTTTTCTTTTCATCCTAACCAATCGCGGCTTTGTGGCGTCTGCGCCCTGCTCTCCCGCGCGTACGACGTGCTCTCTCGCGCTTCCCTCTCCTCGCAGCGCTGTGTTTCTCCGTCACCACGGCCGACCTCATCGGGGAGACTTCAGTGTTTTCTATGACGCTTTTTGTTTTTTCTCGCCGCGAACGTTCCTATCGCAGTTCCTGCTCAATTTCTGAACAAAACACCGCATGAGTCCGATTCCAAACCGTGCTTCAAACAATCTGATTGGCTCTAATCCAACTAGTTCCAATAATTTTTTTTTTTAGTGTTCCAGACGCAAGCAATTATGCGCTGGTTAACTTTCTATTTTGCTCCACTGTCCCATTCTGTACCTTGTTTTTTTTTTGCAAAGTACGTATATCACAGAGTTATGGATCAAATCCTTAAACGCAATGGACTCCCAAAACTTAGCCCACTAAAATAATTCCCTCAAATGAACAAACCTTCATATACATATCACGAATTTCATACGCTGCGAACATGAAGGCGAATGCTCGAGCCAGCTGTGGCATGAGGCGGAATTGTTGTGTTTGATAGTCGAGGATTTGTACTTCACCGGCCCTGAAAACTGATTTTAGCATGTCAATTTGCGCTGCACGAAGCCTTTATCTGCTTTACTAGATTGTCTTTCATCAATAGATTTCTTCCCAATCTTTTCCTTCTGACGACACCTCTTCAGTTATGCTTTAGACGAAATCGTTTACAAAATTAATCAAACCATGTGGAAGATGTCGACCAGTCCGTCCTAGGTTAAATCACGTGAGATCACGCCCCTACCTACGTGGCCCCTCTGTCGCCCGATAGGGTTTGAATTGACAAAGCGAAACAATTCTGGAGCACACCAATTAATGGTAAAAAGTGAAACAAAATTTCCAGTCACCATATGTGCAGAAGTCATTTTTTTGTGAAAGTCATTCACTTTATGCCTTGCCTGATCCGATATCGGTTGTCTCTTGATAAAATTGCTTCCGTTGAGATGAGCTACTGAGAAACAACTTCAGTTTCGTACTCCGGACTGAAGGGTTGAAAGAAACTTCAGACAGTGTTTCCTTTCGCATGGTTCATTTTGTAAGTACATAAAAGTGAAACAAAATTTATCTAACTACTGAAGGCAAACTCCGGAATTAAACTGGTGCTAAGAGCGCTTCGCAGTGATAGCTTAGCTGCGGAGCGACCCCAAAGTGGAGAGGGAAGCGAGAGAACTCTTTGGGAACGCTGAACTTAAGGCCTTAACCTTCAAAAAGGTCGGATGTGGTACGACGGCAAGACAGGGCGATCAGAGAGGTCAAAACACGCGAGAGAGAACGTCGTTTGAGAGAGCACGCTGATCTCTACATCAATGCACGCTGATCTCACCACATCTCGCGGTGGGTGGGAAGCGTTCGATGGTTGGAGGCCCGTAAGGATTAGCGCCCTAACCGCGCGATTTTCGCGACCAAGTTGAAGTGATCTAGGTAGGTACGGGTCTTACAATTTCCCTCGCGGTATCCTTCCTACTAGTCGGGCTAATCCCGGGGTTTGCCTTTAAAGCTTCAGAGCGATCATCCTGATTCAGTAGGTTTAAGTCCACAGATAGTGAGGAATTCGAAACACTTTGGCAGCATCTACCAAATGTGGCTGGATTGATTCGTTCGAATCAATCCAGCCACATTTGGTAAATGTTGCCGAAACTGGTGGAACAAAGTTCAGGACGCCGGAGGAACTAAGAAAAAATATTCCTGAGCGATTCACCCTTGCTCGATTTCTCCCTGCCGCCTGATCGCCGAGTAACGTGTTGCTATGCAAGCGGCAGCAGCAAGTTGGGTAGCTTGATCCTTGATCATTATTGACCGTACGAAGACCATCGTACCGTAACCAAGCTTCGAGTGCTTCGGAGCGACGTATGTGCCATCTCGTTCCACCTAAAAGCAATAGATCAATAGAAAGCTAAAATAGGCTCCCTACCATAAGTAGATTATTTATTCATTAGGCGAAGGGAGTTTAATTGTTACACCACCTTGTGCTTAGCCTTGCAATTGAATCCAACTTTTAATATCGCCATGGTCAGGGATGCTCGAATGCAACTGATCTTATCAATTGGTCGTTTTCTGGGAATGAAGATAGGAGTGGAACAGAGGAGAAAAACGATTCAAATCTCCAAGTTCCTGTTTTCCCTGTTGATTTCCGCTTCGGACGAGTCTCATTGGTGCAGACATCAACGTTCTGCTCTGCTTCTCTTCGAGAATTGGATGCCGATGGCCAGGGTCCAGGACCAGCTTCTGTTAGAGGCAGGTATAAACTAGCAGCTGTTGGAGGCAGCAGAGACACTTAGGTGCTCAGATGGACAGCTAACACCTTACTACGCGCTATGAGCAGACCCTCTGCAGCATTCCTCGTCCCGCTCTTTTTTCCCCTTTACAGTTAATACATTTTACTTCTCCGACCTCCAGATTATACCAATTGCCTTTAAATTCCTGCAGACGATTACGACTGGTCCATATAGATGGATGAGAACACTAATTTGTGCACTGCCATTGACTGCAGGCACATGAAGGGCTGCACATTTGGAGGGCACTTCTACATTAAACAAGACTCTGATGTGCGTGGTACTACAAAGTGAGCGGATCAGCATTGAAAATCAAGAGGAAATTCGGTTTCCACCCTGGCACCAACAAAAATATGCCCGAATTCGTTCGAAGAACCAACATTAAGCAAACGAAACGTCGGGCCTTAAACGGATAATTCACTTGAGTTAATAAGTGAATTCGGCTTAGGCCTTCCTCTAAAACTTGGCGCGGCTCTTCTTCCACGCATAGAAAGAGGAATTTTCCGCGAAGAAGACGATGGCCCGATCCCATGTAGTAGAAGTCCAGAACGACAGCTATGCCAACGAACTAGACGCTGTGACCCATCTTGTTATGAAACTGTTCATTGACCATGAGTATTCCACTCCAGCGGAGGTGATAGGCTCCTGAGAGTTTTAATCAGAAGCTATATAGATTGAACCTATCACCTATTTTAACATTAGGAGCAGGGTGATAGAGACGGGTCAAACGATTGCACATTTTGCTTTCTGGCCCTGATCGTGGCATGGTAGCTCGTTTGATCAAGCCTTGAATTCCTTCAAAGTTGACAGATCACACTGATATGGACTTCTTTGGGAGAATCGACACCCTGATTCGTCCGCTAAACCCTCAAATCCTTGCTGTAATCAAACCACCTCATACGGCCTTCAGTGAGTTTGAAGGGGGATTGAAAGCGGGGCCGAGTTGAAGGGATAAATTGCAGTCCACTAACGGGGTTGACCATTCCTATTGTATCCCAAAATGAATTAAATGGATTAACTGAAAGCCTACCTTGGAGTATCGCATTAGCATGTTCTGTCGTGGGATTCTGTAATTGTCGAACAACAAAAAGCCATTATCGCTGGAATTGAAGCCGAACTTGGGACCGATATCGCCAACGCGGACACCTAGAATTGAAAGCTGAGTCAAATTCGTGGTACTCCTCAGTATACTGCACCTTTCATTGGTTTGTGGGAATCAAGATCTCGCAACTGAACGATAAACGGATGCGGTCCGTGGCAAACTCCTTGAGTGTAGAGTTGAGCGACAACAATGGCATAGTTAGAAGATTTGCCGAGAGCACCAGGCCACCATCTGAAATCGAACGCATTTGTGAGTTCCTACATCAACGTATCATAAGGGTTTGAAATACATAACAGGAACACTAATAAACGAAATAGCAGGATGACCGTAACCACCAGCATCAAGCTTGAGCCAGTTAAGCCCTCAGTTCTTACAGATCGGTGTCAGATCGTTTCGGAGTATAGAAATATATCTTTTTAGGATTGCTTCTGAAGCCACAAGCCGAGATGAAACGGTAGCTTCAATCGGGTAACTTCTGGCTTTCCAGGCTCTGACGAAGACGAAGAGGTCGAAACGTTAGCCGAATAAAGCAACTGTATCATCTTGGCTTGTGGCTTCAGAAGCAAACTTAAGAAGATACCACACACGATGCCAAGATTCATCGATCGTCGATCCTTTATGCTATAGAAATATACCTTGAGAAGCATATACCACCGCCTAATTATACTTATTGTGTTCGGAAACGGAAATTTAAAGGTCTGAAGTAAGCCGCTAGCGAAAGAAAAGCAAAATGGAACAGCCCGAAACACTGGATTCACATCCTTTCGTACAGTGGACAAGATTGTGAGGCAGATAAAAATATAGCTCAAGAGAAAATAGGCAGCGAGGCAGGTAACAAGGGTTGAGAGCGAGGGAGCATAGGGAACGAAGGAGACGCAGACACCGAAACATTCGCAGTGGTGAACGTTCATCAATGCCTGGTGCATGAATACCTATCTTCCCTGGTATTAAACTCACTTGGCCGCAGTAATTGTTGGTGAGTTGATAACAAACTCTTCAGTTTTCGGGTCGTAGGTGGCAGTTGTTTCCAGATTTTTCAAATTCGTCCCTAAAAGAACAATTCTTTTCGTTTCGTTGGGACAAAAGGAAATCAAGGAAGATTTTACGGTACACAGAGAACCAAATATAGTTACACACTGGTGTGCAAAACTTAAGGACGAACCAAAATTTATTACTATTACTGACGTACTTGGGATGGTAAGAAAGTCCTGAGCCGATTTTTCGAAAGCTCCAGAACTTTCGCTTATTGATCGATACCTAGAATCTGCTACGTGATAGACTATTATCGCTGTCGATCATACTTCTCCGCAGTAGGTATATATTGCCGGGTTGCCTTCTTTAACTTTAATCATGATGATTTCCACAAGAGCACTTTCGAGCGATCATCTTCAATGAATGGCGCTGCGGCACAGGAGCAGTGGAAACCGTCAACATTATCAGCATCGCATTGGGAAGGGACACCACTTCCATCATCAGTGCCAAGCTCTGGTTCGCAGGCTTCGAAGGAGGAGACACGGCTTCCGAAGACAAGACAAGGTTGGGAAGCCCCAAACAGTGGAACACGCCACCGTTCTCGGTGCGGGCGAAGCGGAACCGGAGATTAGCACCCGCAGCCTTGTGATGCAAACCAGGTAGCACCATTCTAGTTGTCCTCGTTCCCTCCAAAGGCGCCTCGCCAGCACGGAGAGTGGGCCGACTTGAATGCCTTCCTTCATGCCTTGGCCGATAGCATGCGGTTCAGCCGGATATCCATCTGACAGTCTCTCCTTCTTGGCCCGCACTGAAAGGAGTTTCTGGAAGGCTTGATCACGGGAGATGAGAGTTGGGCCCTATACGATTCTAATGAAGCACCCGCGAAATCCCACGCCATCGTGCTTCCCCCTCGAGACATGACCCAGCCGCCGCAACGCAGTCCGGGAGACCGCCTTCACCCCAAAGAAGTGCTCTTCTTGTTGGTCTTCGGATTTCGCGAAAATGTTTGATTCGACGGCAGGCTCCCGCTAAGGAGACACACCGTCAACCGTCGCGATTTTACGCCAAGTCCAGCTCGCAGTACTCAGCCGCACGCTGTTCGAGTAAAAACGACCGAAGACCGAGCATCTGTCCAAGCCAGTCCAACGATAACCCAGGCCGACACATACAGTAAAAGGAGACCCGTCATAATATTGGAAGAGCTGGACTGGGCCCGAAGAACTGTCCACCCCGAGCAGCACCGTCAATTTCCCCTGCGTTCCTCGGGCCCTCTGTTGTATGCGAGGCGTTTGCTTTATTTCGCTCCGTTAAGCCATTCCTAGCGAAGAAAAAATTCGCCAAAAATTTGAAGACGTTGAAAGGGTGGTCGGTGATTTCTTTGACTCTCAGTCTGCCAGTTCTGGGAGAAGGGATCGCTGACCTGCCCATTAGGTGGGACTCTGTAGTGAGTAACAATGGTGATTATATTGTTGAGTAAATTCCATTGTACGCGGAATAAAAAAGTAAAGCAAAAAAAAGTGTCAAACGGCTCAGGACTTTCTTACCATCCTAATATTACTGCCGAGCAAAACAGCCCTATAGAACCTAACCACACATATAAGGAACTGTTCCAGTATAGTACAAAAAGCAAATTAATAGGAACCGTAAAAGGTCCACAAAGCTATAAATAAGTTAGGTTACTTCATCTATCTCGTCCTTAGTTTTGCACACCAGTATTATGCTAAAACGGCGGAAAATCGGCCTGAAATTAAGTTTCTTGCAGCCGACTTCGAGACAGTGTCGCTCTCGCTCACCAATCCCCTCAGAGATTTATCATCTTCCTCACGAGATGAAGTTGATCCCTCGTTTCGGCGTGCTTACTTATATCTTATTGAATGGTGACCATGTCGCTCGAAAAACATCACCGCTGCCCCACTTGTTCTGCGCGCACAAGTGTTAACGTGGAGCACGATACCCCTAAATCCACGGTTGTGAAATGTGCCTTGTACTGTAGGGACCTTTCAGACACACGTTAGCGCTTTGGTACGCCCTTCATGGGGTACGCTGAGCTGCGAAACTGCCCCCTGTTGTTCAGTTGGACCTCATATCTTTGGCTTTTTTGGATATCAAACTTGTCGCGATTTTTGACCTTAAAGATGCAACGCTAGCTTAAAGTAGGATCCACGATAACGACCAAAGTTGAAGGAGGGGAACTTACGCAGTGGAGAGACAGGCAACATTTTGAGGGTGAGGACCGACACGAAATTCGCATTGAAGGATGTGCCACGAGCGATAAAGTTTGGCCCTCCCCGGACTGTTGGTGCGTTATCGGCGCGGAACGTCCCCCCCCATCCCTGTCGCTATATGAGCTTGTACCCGTTTCAGCAGAAAGTACGTTACCGTTAGAGAGAGCAGCATCGACGAGAGTGC